GGGGGATGCGGGGAGGGCTGGAAGCACCGGGAGCACTGCTGGGAGATACTGGGAGCACTGCGGGGATGGGGAGCCTTGAGGGACTGGGAGCGTTTGGGAGGGCTGGGCACACAGGGAGCATTGCAGAGGGACTGGAAGCACTGGGAGGACTGGGGGCACAGGGGACTGGGGGAACTGGAGGGAGGCTGGGAAGACTGGGAGCATGGGGAGCTGGGGGCACTGGGTGGGGGGGACAGCACTGGGAGCGTCTGGGGGAACTGGGAGTGCTGGAGCAAGACTGGGAGTGGTGTGGGGACTGGGAGTACCAGGGGAGACTGGGACTCAGGGGACTGGGAGCACTGGAAGAACTGGTGGCACTGGAAGGACTGGTGACACTGGGATAATAAGGGATTGTAGCGCCAAAGGCCTGGAAGCAACTGGGAGCACTGGGATCGGGTTAGCTGCGCTGGGAGAAGGGGCTGGGAGCACCAGGCCTTGGGAGCATGGGGGACGCAGGGGGAGCACTGGGGTGGCACAGGGAGGGGACAGTGACCCCAGCACCCTTCCAGCACGACGTGGAGCTGACAGACCCGCGTGGCCGGACGCCCCTGGAGCTGGCCGTGTCTCTGGGCCACCTGGAATCCGTGCGGGTGCTGCTGCGGCACAACGCCAACGTGGGCCGGGAGAATGCCAACGGATGGACGGGTACAGGGACACCACGGGGACTTGGGGACACCATCCAGGGGTGCGGGCGGCCTCCAGCTGATGACACCCCGTGTCCCCAGTGCTGCAGGAGGCGGTGAGCACGGGGGACCCCGAGATGGTGCAGCTGGTGCTCCAGTACCGTGACTACCAGCGGGCGACGCGGCGCCTCGCTGGCATCCCCGAGCTGCTCAGCAAACTGCGGCGGGTACAGCCCCCCCAGAACTGCACCCTGCAGCCCAGAGCTCCCCAGGGACACCTACCAGCCCCATCCCTTTGCTCAAGACTCCCCACCTCTCCAGCAACTCCAGCAGAGACCCCCCCCAAGTCTCCCCAGGACACCCTGTTTCCTCCATGACCCCACTCTTTCCCCAGGGACACCCTGCCTATCCAGCAACACTTCCCCACATTGCCCTGATCCCCACTCAGGACCCCAATAGGAAACCCCACCCCTGCTCTCCAGATTTCCCACATCCTCAGTTGTCTGAGAAGGGACCCCCAGTTCTCCCCAGAAGCCCCTACTGACTCGTTTTTTTCCCTGGGGACCCCCTGCTTATCCTTTTCCTCTTGGACTCGCTGCTTATCCTTCCCTGTGGACCAGCACTAATGACCCCACTTTCTCTGATCCCCACCCAGGACCCCAAAGGGACCCCTATCCCTTCTCCCCAGACTGCTTCCCCCTCCCCAGTGACCCCAGCAGGGAGTCCCCAGCCCCTCCACATCCCCCACCATGCTCCTCATCCCTTCCAGGCATCCGACTTCTACGTGGAGATGAAGTGGGAGTTCACGAGCTGGGGTGAGCGTGGCCGGGCTGGGCGGGGGAAGGGGGTCCCCAGGGGCCCCCCGGCCGCGGGGCTGAGGGGTCCCTGTGCCCGCAGTGCCCCTGGTGTCCAAGGTGTGTCCCAGCGACGTGTACCGCGTGTGGAAGCGCGGCGAGAGCCTGCGGGTGGAC